TGGTCCTTCTATAAATATTAAATGAACAACAGTGTTTTTCCAGACTGATCTAAGCGGTTACGACATTATACATAACGTATACTTACAGGTTCATGGTTTTGTTATCGATAAAGTGCAAGGGTGGGTAGACATTTTGTTTATAGAGAATGGTGATGACTTTCCAACTGACGGAAATTAACACTGATATTGATTAACAATTTTTATCAATTTTATTCATGTAACAAATAACCTGAGACAAGGGTTAAAAAAAAACGGTTAAGGGTTCAGGAAAAGAATTATAACAAATTGACCTATGGCTCAATGAAATTAAATCTTTTAATTGCTGCCAATGCCAGCATCTCTCTACTGCTCTTCGATGCTTAACTTTCACTAAATGTACAATTTCTTGGTGCTTTTTATCCTTTAAATCCTGTAATTTCCATGTAAAGTAGGGACTTTGTATCTAAATGAATTTCCCCACGTGTCGTGACCAGCTTCATTGTACACAGAACAATTCATAACGACAGGTGGTTTTCAATTTACTCGGTAATGTCATTAGCTCCCCGCCTGGATGTCCAGAAGGAAACATACACTATTAATGGCGCGGGGCAATTTGCAGTGGTGAGTCTAGTTAGTGGATGAAACGATTAATTTGTGAACTGTTCCATTTCAGCGAGCAGGCGTGCAATTGTCTGAGGCAGCCACGTGACGACGGCTGTTTCCTGAAGCCAATGAACCCAAGCATGTTTTTCTGCTCCCCGACTCTTATTAATCGCGTAATTGCAGAAAGCTTCGGAAATCTGAGTTGGTTCAGTTTGAACAGAGTTCGACTTTTTAAAATATTATCAGAATCGTAGTTTGTCATCATTGTTATATCTTTTGACGAATTCCTCAATTGAAAGAATGAGGCATTTATGGAGTATTTGATTTCACAGTGACTGCTCTTTGTTTCGACACTCCTATGTTCCGACAACCCAATGATACGATTGTGTTATGAGTCGGAACATATAGGGTGTCGGAACATAGGTGTGTCGGGACATAGGTGTACAGGTTATCCTATACGACTGAGGACTTGAGACAATGGGGTGTGCGCGATAACAATGGGCCCGACGCTGCCCGAGGACCTGGGTGCTGGTCCTCGGGAGAATTTCGTGTACAAACCTTTGGGAGCTGTCGAGAAACAAAAGTTAAAGTACAAACAAAAGGGAATAAAAGAAGGGTAGGGGCAGATTCTCATGAGTATAGTGAAACACGACGTGTGTGTGTCGAAACACAGGGGTGGGTGAGATGGTTTCTGCATTCAATAGAGGACGTTGAACAATAGAGGACAATAGGGTCTCCAATTTCCCGAAGGTCCCCGATTCACGATCGTGTACAAAACATATGAGAGGTCTTCCTACAAACAAAAGAGGGGCAAAAGGGGGTCCCGATTGCAGCTAATACACACTTTGTGTGTGTGAGGGTGCGTTTGTTTATGGTGTAAATCGATCGAGGACACGCACGTGCAACATCATCGGTGAATCGAGGACAGGAACCAAATCGAGGACGACCTCGATTACAAAACGTGTACAAAACCAATGAGAGCTGTTGCAAAAAAGGGGAGTATAAACAAGGGAAAGGGGGAGAGGAACAAACGAAAATATTCGATTTACACCATAAACAAATGAAAATGGGTATAACCAAAAAATGTATAACCGATTCCACATAGGCAAAACAACTGAAATCGTTTAGTTTTGTATTCGATGTGAGAACAGTGGATAAGCACCCTTTTCCAGTCAGTGTCAAATCCTGTTTGTTAACACCAACTCCGTTCACTCTTTACGTTTATACATTATTACAAGAGCCTAATGTTGTCAAACTGTTTGATAACCACGGCATGGGCATACATGTGTACTTCTTTTCTTTTCTTTTTTTCTTTTTCAGACGGAGGGCAGGAGTTTTTCGGTGTGTTTCAAACAGGGAAATGTTTCTGGCTCCACGTAATCGCGAAATCAGGCCACACGCTTGAATTATACATCTTAATAGATCAAGTCTTGAGACTTGAATGCTGATTTCTCGCGACTGGAGTCATGAAATTGCCTTTATTCATAGCCTTGCAGCTTTGATTCACCGCGCAGAGAATCAATTTCGCGCGGGCAGGACCGATCTCGAGCCGGCCGATAACATCGCAATTCACCAGGGACTCGGAACCTCGCTGTCGCGCGTCGTGTATATACACCCATTCGTTTTTCGTATCTGCCAAGTGGTTCGGAAGACGGTCACAAAAAAAGTAGCACGATAAAAGATAAAACTAAAATATAAAATAAAAAACGAGCCGGAGTCAAGCCATTATCGCCCCGCCGTTTTATTTGGTTTGTTCATTAGATAAATGGACGTGTCAGTCGCGTTTTATGGCGCCCATAAAGATAACATAGTTATATACGATATAACTTGTCTAATTTGTATCTACCTTTACGGGCCTAATATCTCGATTTCCAGAGAATATTAAATCATAGTTTCGCGATTTTGACAGGTGGACAGAATGAGTTCAGTCCGCTCCAATTTTTTTTTTTAAATCTCGCTTTTCGTCCCATTATGTTCCTAGAGAAACAAAAAAAAGCAGGTGTTATTAATGACTGCCAGAGAATTCTTCACCCCAAACTTGTCCATGGTTTTGGTTGTGTTCTTTAAATAAAACATTGCTCGCAACGAAAACAGCAATTGCAGGTTTTATTTTAATTGAAGATTTGTTCAGGGGGACAAGTGAAAATCTCAGCATTTTTAAGACAGTGCATCCTACAATACTGTCAATTTATTTTAATGAAAACGAAAGTTATACTCTTCAGCTACAACTGTTCCGGAAAATATCGCAGCTCCAGTACTACGAGTAGTAATCTCGCAGGTGTTTAATTTATAAACGGGGAATTAGCCACAAATGCAGATGTATATTACTTTGTAGCTTATTATCTGTATTTTAGTTTATACTTTCAATGTCCAACATTTTAGCTGTTAATTTCAACTCTAAAACAATTACTAATATGCACACACGAACATCAATTCGTCCGAATACGTCCGACACCATGTCGTTTCGAGCCGATTTCTACTACAGCCCAAAAAATGCGGATGATTAAAATGTTTTAAACCATGGTGTCATTCTAAAACTATTCTTATACTACGCACACTGTTGAATCATCCCAAATGTACACATAATAATCCGACACCGTACTGTAGAAGAGTGGCGTAGCCAAGATTTGTTTTCAGTAAGGTACCCAACGGGGCGCCAGCATTTTTTTTTGGGGGGGGGGGGGGAAGCACGGACGGACCCACAACGACATTTTCCCCAAATTATCAGAGTGCCAGTACCAGCCAGGTGTTGCAAATAGGTCCCCCTCCCCCCTCTCCCTGACTACGCCTCTGCCGTAGGACTGTCCAATACTTAACAGTACTTATTCAAATTCACGGTAACGATTTGAATGCGTTCCCACTTGTGGGCAGTGATATACCGTTAACAATTGTTTCGAACGTCCCAAACGTTTCGAACGTCCAAAGTTAACAAGAACAAAGAAAGAAAATATGAATTGCAAAATTTCGTCACTAAGTAAAATTTGAAATTCAAATCTCGTCTTCCTGTAAAAACAACTTCTCCAAAAATTTCTCTTTTTTGTTTAAAAGTCTATCAATTTGTTTGGTTTTTCTAAAATCTTCAACTTTCGATTGCATGGAAATACCACGGGTGACTTTATGATCTGAATCTGATATGTATTATAAATATGTAGTGAGGCCAGTGGTGGCGCAGGGTGGGGGGGGAGACTTGCCTTTCTTGCCTTTGACACCCCCCCCCTCCTCCTTATCCCCAAGAAAATAAAACAAAAGGGAAAAAGAAAAACAAAATAAGGTATAAAAAGAAAACTGAGAAGAGACTCGAGTTAATATGTTACTATACATTGAATGTAAATTGCATACTGGAAACCCTTGGAAATGGCCTTAAAACGTGGGTATATGCAATTAATACGTATGTGAGTGGATTTTTACAGCGCCCCAAGCTTCAAAATATGTAGCTCCCCCAAACAAGTGTGAATGAATGTCAATATAACATTACATACTTGTTTTTTCTCGGTGAATGGTTTATTATTATATCAAGTAAATGAAATAACATATTATATGTAGTTAGTTGGAGCTCTTCACTCCTTTCTTCTGAATATAACACGCGTGCAGTATGTTTCAGTTTGTCTAGAGGGGTTGTCTGTTTGATTGAACAAAAATCTATAAATACCTAAGACAGTTTACCCATTCCTATTGGTCGAGAGCCAGTCACGAGGCCCGCTTTAATTGGTTGATAAAGACCGGCTGGCTGGTCCTTAACACTTTTTTAGTGTCACATGAAATTTGGACTCCTATAAAATCCGGTGCCAATACTGTTTTACTGGTTGAACGATCACAATCGGCGTGCGCAATACTCAGTATTTCATAGACCTAAATTCGCACTACACTTACACAACTGCGTCTGCGCCACAGCACGCAGTACGCGCGATGCGCGCGCCAATCTCCTTATAGGGAGTTGTTCAAGACTACTCGCGAGAGGGCCATATCATAGCACAGCTGGAGGGGTATTTCCAACATGAAGTAAAACTGTTGGACAAAACTTTTGGACATTAGTTTTGAGTTGTTTTGACATTTGGACCGAACCATAATATTTTTTTTTTCTTTTTTACCGAAAATGGTATGTACGAATGGGAATAAATATGTGATTGGCCGTTATTAAACACTATGTTCATGACTGGTTGGAGTCTGGATGCTGATAAGTGCCCTCACCTTCAGCTCGGGTCAGCACACAGACTCCAACCAGACTTAAACAAAGTGTTTAAAACCGGCCAATGACACACATATTCCCTAAACGATGACTCTTCTACATAGTTCTAGCATAATACAGGATAGCAGGCACTGTTTATCATGCACAACGTGCTATAGAACAAAGGGAAGAACTGTTGTCATTATTATATCAGGCAAAAAAAAGGCTACTTACGGTGACCCTTGGTTTTATTTTTCCAATTTGCTATTTGCGAGGGACACAGAAAGGCTTTCTGCCCTTCTCGTCACAGTAGCAGACGGTCCTGCTGGTAATGACGCACACTGATGTCGTCACGGCCCGTTACGCAACAGTGGGGAATGAAAACATTTCGGTAAAGAGGGCCGTTTAATATCGACAAAGAAAATAAAATAATAATAATGGCAATAAAGTAAACAATGGGAACAAAATAGGACAGCCAAACACAGCAAAAATCAATTTCTCGCGATTAAAAGAGGGCGGGTAATAGGCGATGGCTCAAAGGGGGCCTCGTCTCTTTTCTTGACAAGGGGGTCTGACAAAAGAAAAATAACCACGGCATTATAATCGTATCCGATAAATAATATTGGCAGCTCCTGAAATTACAGATACCTTGTAAAGTATTTTGATATCACTTGTTTCAAAAAAATGCAACCTTTTTCTACATATGTATTGGATTTCCGGAATTTAGCTGTTTTATCTTGACATCGAAAGACACCACGGCAGGTTTAATGGTCCTCTAGATTTAAGTGAAGAGATGAGTTGAAAGACTTTAATATTTAAGAACTTTACCCCAGTTTCGGCATTAAACGAACAACAGAAAAACATTAAACAAACAACAGAAAAATGAACAGGACAAGTTCACATTGTTTCTATTAATCAATAAGAATGTACATGTTTATTATCATCACTGATAATAGAGGCGAGATTATCAGTAGCTGCCGGGGCGGTAGAACGCTTTTCAAACTGGGAGGGGGGGGACACCAAAAAGGGGCTCTTGCTGAGAAAACGGGGCACCTTTCGTCGGTGTAAAAGTGGAGGAAAAGATAATGGTCCCGTTCATTTCAATTTAAACAAATATGACGAGGAACGAACTATAAACAAGTTTTCCATCTTGCTGTTTGTTTTTCTCTTACCTAGTTATGTAGAGAGACCAGTTTTTTGGGGCACTGTTGATTTTGAGGGCCAGTTCAGTGACCATTTTATTTGCATAAAGAGCAATGTTATGTTTTAGGGGACAGTTTTCCATCTTGAGAGAGGGCACAATTTTCATGTTGCGATCGGGGCATTCATTGTGCATTCGAGGGGCAGTTTTCCATCTCGAGAAGTTATCGCGAGAGCAGCACTATTGTTTTTGATGGCCAATTTTCCATCTCGAGAGGGGCACAATTGTATTAATGCTAGAGGGGTATTTGTGCTTTTGAGGGGTAGTCTTCCATCTCGAGAAGGTGCACAATCTTGTTAATGCGCGAGGGGTGCTTGTCTTTTTGAGGGACAGTTTTGCATTACAAGAGAAGAGACATTTGTATTTGTAGCGCGATCATATTATGCTTTCATACGTGAGTGTTCGAGCGGCAGATTTAAGTTATTTCATCTAGAGGGGGCACATTTATAACCGCGAGAAGGGCACTTTTGTTGGCCTGTGCAATCCCCCCCCCCCCCCATCAGCCTTATCCCCAAAGATTACGCTGGGCCCAGCCACTAAGAATCAAGAGGGACTTCCTGAGCTCCCGCTCACAGCTGCTGTGACAATTGTCACCCTGACAGCGATAATTGGGTTGGCCATTTGCTGGAAGGGGAATGGGTGAGATCCGAGAGCAATCTCTGCAACTTCATCCCCAACCCCTCCTCTGCCAGGCCAGCCTGGCACAATCTCAGCAGGAGAGCCCGGGTACCCCTGAACAGACCTTTATCATGCTGCCACCATTTCAGTCATGTTCCCTGTATCCAATAACAGAACTGATTGATAATGACTTTTGTGCAACAAGGAATCAGACTATTTCTCCTTCCAGCCTCGCTTTTGGTTACAGTGATTTGAAAGGGGAAAAGTCAAATGGCTGCAACATGATAATGGTCTATTGCTTGTACACATAGTTTGGGGTGTACCGAATCTTTTCCCGACCAAGATTGGCGCAGCAGCTGCTGGGACCGCTGCAAATGCGGCCAACAGCGGACTACGGACCGTGTAATCGATTGTGCCCTGAACGGTGCTCCAAGTTGGATGGAGGGTCTTGTCAACCTCGATAAGGCCACACAGTTCTGGTTGGAGAGTGCTGAACTCTGACAGGGACGAGGATCAGCACTGACTGACCGCACTTGCTAACAGGGCTCCGATTACCTCAATTTCGAAACAGGACATCTGCTATAAAGCCCTGTTGTTCACGATAAAACCTACTATTAAAGATATTAGTCCAAATATCAGCATCTTTGTCCCTCTTGGAGGTTTCTTTTTGTCTCCCGCACCTCGTTGCCAACAGTAACACGTGTTTTTTTTTCTTTTTGCTTTTTGATACGAGTTGGCAGGGTGTCAGCCCGCGTATACGCGCTCTAGCAACACATATGCATTATAGGTTCGACTTTTGGCGTCACTATCGATACATTGCAGCATGCGTTCGCTTGGTAAGTTTGCCAATTTACCATAAACTATAATGATATTGAATATTATTCATAGTATGCATGCATTGTTGTTTTTTTCTTTGACGCACATAGTGAGTGGCATGCAGTCATGATACAAGTGCGATAAGTGTTTGAGGCCGAAGCTTTGGAGATGAACATAGTTTTGAATGTATTCATAGCACAGGGGACAATAACGGCGTATTTCAATGCATCGAGAATGTAGAGCCGGCACAGAACAAAGACGCACGGCAGCCGTTTGAAATGCACTACTCAGGAAATTGGTGGCTTCATAGAATGATCACACCTTTCAAAATGCAAAGCCGCAATGACATTCTTATCATGAATCATACATTTTAGTTCTTGGACTAAGCTCAGTAGGCTTATTTTGATTCTTTTCAAAGAGGGGGGGGGGAACAACTCGTTGTGTGGGGGAAAATATCGACATGGCAAAAAAACACCAATATGGGAATCAGGTGAAATTAGAAATTACATAAACTTGCGGTTTATGAAGATTGGGTAAACTCAGGGCACATTCTTGAATGCCTTATAACTCCAAGAGTGATTATATGTCAAACAAAGTACCTGTCAACGCAATACGTCGCCGTGTGCATGCTATTTAACTACTGCCATAAAAGTATAGTTGTAAATTCACACCCTATAGCAATGTAATTGGAATGTTTATCCTTTTACTGAATTTATTTATTACTCAATTAATATTGAATTATCTTAATTTCTTTCTTTTTGTTATAAACAATTTTTTGTAGGTGCAATTCGATGTTTGTAGGATGAGAGTGACGTTGACTGGTGTTTGCACTTCACAAAATAAAAGGACCGGGGAACCAGCGCGTGGCTTTAGTTGTTTGTACGGCGCGCTATACAGCCAACGAGCTCTCCGAATTTCATTACGTGGAGATAAAGTGTTTTAAACATGCTGCTAAACCTCCGTCGAGACGAGTCTGTGTTAGAAATCCTTACAGCTACTGTTCTTTTTCCCAGTGAGGATCGACGCAGGATGAATCGAGTGGGCACGGCCGGGAGATCGGTTGATTGTCCTGTGAAAGATAATTGATGACATGATCTTGTTGACAGCACTGTCTTAACATCTCACGGTGAATTTCAAACTCGGGGATTGACCGTTTGATTTCCCATTTGATTTGACTGACAGAGCGCTCTTTGCTCTTTGCCACGAGCAGATAGATTGCTTTCTCATAACTGCAATTTTAAAGTCTATACTCGCAAGATTTCGAAGGTAGCAGTTTAGTCACGCATTTCATTTTTTTGTTTAATAGAGGATTTTGGAAAGCTGCCAAAACAACCATGCGTTTAATCAATTGATGCTCACGTAAACGGGCTGTCAGAACCACACAAAAACTCTGGGGATTTATTGTATCACGATTTAATCGCCGTTTACTTTAATATTAATATTCTGTAATTTCATTGGTCTATTTTCGGTCACATGCCTATTTTCTAAAAACGACAGTATGCGTCAAGGCGTAGCTCGTACCGTCTTTCGTTATTGGCTTACGACGCGTGAATATTACATCATTGCACATATTACGTTGTCATCTGCCATATTGCACGTCGATGATGTCAGCTGTTTTTTTGCAACGCGTGACACTCTGGTGACACTCACGATATTCCCGACACTGTTTCGACAACATAATTAATTGAAGTGCATTTGTCCAGGCGCGGTTATACCGGGGATGGTGGGGGGGGGGGGGGGGGGGCAGGGGGTCTAGCTTGTGGACAAACACATGGCTGTCTCTGAATTTTGTTGACATAAATTCAGGTCATGATGCAGACGCATACAAAGTTAGCACAAAATCTACCCTGTGTTTCTGTCGATATAGGCCTTAAAAAATACACGATGACGTCATGATGACGTCACTTTGATTTTGAATACCAGTATCAATACCAACCTACCGACCAAGTTCCATAACGAACGGACATTCCCTTATATGTATTTCAAAAAGTCACCTTTTTTTATGACGCCAATGTTTGGCATACATCTACATGTGCTAGTTTAAGTGTGTGGAAAGTATAAAGGCAATCGGATTGAGTTTTGTTTTGCCCAAAGTGCCATGAACGATGAAAACGCGTAGGCCTACAAATGCTAGGCAAATGGCTGAAAAAGAAAAAAGAAAAAGAAAACAAAGCCTTAAACAAAAACAAATGCTGTTTCGGCAATTTTTACGAAACATCACATTTTTTTTTTAAGAACATATAAAGTGACGTCACGTGCGAAGGGTCAAGCACCCCTAAAATAATGGATCTAGAAACGCGTCTGCATTTGTCATTCCTTACTGAGTCAGGGCAAGTGGACATTCAATACACAATATTCACTAAACAATTTGTTCAACATGCCGTGTCCTACACGGCAACAACAACTAAGCCCCCTATGGCGTCGTTGTGGATTGTTTCACTAGAAAGAAAAGGAATAAATTGCTTCAGGCGTTTAATTGTTGTTGTTTTTTTTTAAGTTACATCTGAATAATGGAATCAATAATATTTGAAATGAGTCAAAGGAGGAAGAGAAATCAACGCACTTATAATGACCGACCTTGCATTTCTTACATAATTTATATTCAAGAGCTCTTGAGAAAGGTCCTGTTAAGGATCAAAATTTTCGGCCCTCAAATTTTGTTGTTTTTGCATATTTCAGGTCAACCCAGTCAGTTACCAGTTTGCA